ATAAGACAGAATTCACTCATCAAAAGGATAGACGAAAGTTAGCAAAGGATTGAAAGGACTCTTAAGAAAACATGCTGCTACATTAATCTCCCCCATTGAAGCCCGTAAACAAAGAATAAAGACAGTTCACAATGGAAATCATAACCCTTCTAGCCAAACGACTCCCATTTGATGACCAAGAAAAGAAAATCAAGAAGTTAAAAAATCAATTAACTGATATGGAATCCCAAGCCTTTTTCCCTTCCAGCACAAATTGGCCTTCTTCCTCATCAATACAATCCTCAACACAAAACCTAGCCACCTCAGAAAAAATACCAAACTATAAAATTGCATTTTTGTTCACCCCCGAAGAATATGAAAGAAAAACAAGTCTACCCAAAGTCACAAGGAGACAACCACAGAAACTATCAGAACCCATGCACAACTTTTCCCAAAAACCATCACAAATGATGATAAAAACCCAATTTCCACCTTCCTAGAAAGATGTAAAATCCAAAACCCAACCATACCCCAACCTTCACCCATTTTCATATCCAATGACACCAGCTGTTAGTCCTATAAATCTTCTTTTGATGAATATTACAATCCTTTATATATTCCCGATAAAACACAAAGGGGTTCAAAAGTTGAAGAATCATCCGGTGGAACACACTCTGGGAAACACAAAGATGAAGATTTGCCTGACATAGAAGAAGGCCAGACAGTTACAAATAATTATTATCCCCAACATAGTAATCTATCTGTCAAGTTCACTTTTGATGACATACCACCTTCTCAATGGAGATCAAGGTTACAAGAAATGTTGGCAAATGGTACTGCAGAACTAACAAAACCTGATATGATGTATAATATGGTCATCAGAGGAGTTCTAGCCAGGCTTATCGGTCTCATGAAAGAATGGTTCATATCCCTTGGAAGCTATAGACAAAGCCAATGGGCAAATACTCACGATCTTGACAACTTCTTTGATAATCAACATTGGGAGTTTTGTGGAAAATCAGATCATGCAAAAGAAAGGCTCGTGATGAATTCTTCCAATTAAAATGTCGTTCTTACAAGCCAAAAGATTTGGACAAACATTTTAAAGAAGTCAGAAATGATACTACATCCTTGGAGGACTTGATGATACTAATCTCAAACAGGCATATCTTGAATCTCTTCCACAACTCCTTGGTTAAGAAAACCGTAGAGTGATGGAGCTCAAAGGACAGGCGTTATCTCAACATCTATTGGAGAACTTCACAATTGCGTATTAAAAACCCTGAAAAAACTCTGCAACCAAAGAGAATTCTTTAAAGACTTCAACATAAATGGGAAACAATTTGGCAAAGCCTGTGATTTGCCAAATTTAAAAATCAAATGTAGAGATATCAAAAAGGAATGTGGATGCTCAAAGCCTAGAAAATTCAGAAGTAGAAGTTTTAAGAAAAGAAAAAACTTTTCCCCCAAAAAGAGTTTTTCAGAAAAAAGTTTCCCCGAGGAAAAGAAATAGATGTTTTATTTGTGGCAGAAAAGGTCATTTTGCAAAAAATTGTTCCGGCAAAAGAAAAGACGAAATTCTCAATTAGATCCTTTCGGCAATTCAAGTTGATCTCGATGAGGAAGATTTTGAATCATTATTTTCAGAGGAAGAACAACAGTTACCAGAAAGGCAGAAACTGTCTTTGCTCTTGAATATTATTATGATACTCAAAGTCATGATATTACTGAGAGCAGTGATGAAAGTGTGCAAGAATGTTTTGGAATGCAGGTCATAAACCTTTCCCTGGTGGTACCAATGATTGACATTCAGCCTTTTGCGGGAAGGTATGAAAGACCCATTATCGTTACAGCATTACTTGATACAGGAGCGACATCCTCAATCCTTAACCCAACCATACTCCCAAAAAATATGTGGAAATCCTAACAAAAGATCTTTCAAGCGGTCAATAATGAATACTTTTCCATGGAACTCATTGGTAAACCAGTAACCTTCCAATTATTCCCCAAACTAATTATTTCCCACAAACTACTTGGTCATCATTACCAGGTAAAGATCTTGTCATTGGTTTTGATGTGATCAAACAGTTATAGGAAAGACGAGTTAGGCCTCTTTCGAATGGACTCAAATTCAAATCCTACTTTATCCCTTACATTAAACCAATCACGTATTTTACCCTTACGATACCAACCATAACGGAAACCTTTATTAGAGATTCTTGTGCAGAATTCCTTGCCAATGCATAAAGCCTCTTTGGAAAAACCCAGACTTTTTTATAACGTTACCATTTAAAAGAAATGACGATGTCAATCCAACAAAAGCAAGTCACATGGGGATGAGTCCTGAACATTTGGAGCTTGCAACAAAGGAATTGGCTCAATTATAGTCAGAAGGACTTATAGAACCCACTACATCCCAATAGGCGTGCCAAGCATTCTATGTTAACAAAAGAAGTGAGCAACTCAGAGGAAAATTAAGACTTGTCATTAATTATAAGCCGTTGAATCATTTTCTTGCAGATGATAAGTTTCCTCTCCCACACAAGAAAACCATGTTTGCAAACCTGGCAAAAGCAAAATTCTTTTTTAAATTCAATCTGAAAGCGGGTTTCTGGTAACTGGAGGTCAAACCAGAAGAAAGGCACAAGACAACATTCTGTATAATCAATCAACATTTTCAGTGGACGGTTATGCCTTTTGGTCTTAAAACGACACTTTCCTTATTTCAAAAGGCAATGGTAAAAATCTTTCAGCCACTAATGAAAACAGCATTGATTTATATTGATGATATTATGTTGTTTCCTGAGAATAAGGATATTCATGAGTTACTACTCCAGAGGTTCACAGAAATTATTACAGAATACGGAATCATGTTGTCACAGAAAAAGGATCATCGTAGTTCCTGAAATTGATTTTCTTGGAATGCATATAAAAAATGGTTGTTATTCATTTCAGCCACACATTGCTCAAGAGCTCTTCAAATTTCCTGATGAAAATTTGATGAAACAACAGGTCCAACAATTTCTTGGCGTAGTAAACTACATGACTAATTTTTTCAAACAGTTGGCCCATATTATACGACCTCTACAGGAAATGCTAAAGAAAAATCCTCCGCAATGGTCATCCAGGCAAACTCAGGCCATCAAAAGGATCAAACAAGAAGCCCATAATCTTCTAGTACTAAAAATTCCCACTGATGGAAAGAGAATTGTACAAACAGATACGAGTGATTTATACTGGGAGCAGTGCTTCTAGAAGAAAAGAATGGTGAGAGAAGAATATGTGGCCACAAGAGTGGTATGTTCAGAGAATCGGAGAAAAATTACCATTCTACATTCAAAGAAATTCTTGCTATAAAGCGAGGGATTGAAGAATTCCAATTCCACCTCATTGGTCACAAATTTCTGATATAAATGGACATGACGGCATTTCATCAAATGCTGAATTTCAAAAAGAAGCAGATTCCAAATTCACAGCTTTTAAGATGGGCGGAATGGTTTTCCAACTTTGACTTTGAGGTCAAACATATCAAAGGCAAACACAATTTTCTATCCGATTTACTCTCTAGAACAAACTTTCTATCCAACCACAAATCCCTGCCATTTGCATGAAGAATTCGTCCTCACAAATGCCTCCCATCCAGAATTTTTCTCCCGAACTCCAAACTCTCATCAGAAACAAAACCATCCACTTAAGATCGAAGGAACTCATGCTAAAATATCAATCTGTTGTTTTTAGACAAAATGGGATCCATCTTTTTGGTGGACTGGATTTTCACCCAAAATATCCATTTTTAAATCTCTTTTATTTTAATCCAGAACAAATTAAAAAAAAATCGAAAAGAACTTTTGTGTTTTCTATGGTATCTTCTTGAGATACATCAAATTGCAATCTGTTTTAATGCTAATACCATGGTTTCATGGCTCTCAGAAAACTTCACAGCTCTGGAAAGATTATTTAGGATTCATTTCTCACCCAAAAAATGATGTTGTAAGATTTTTTGAATGGTTTTATCTAATGTTTTGAAAACTGGACCGGACCGGCTGGTTCAACCGGGAAAATCGGGAACCGGTTTGAAATCTGGTCCGGTTAGCTTTGAAAACCTTTTAATTAAAAAACCGTTTGAGAACCCATTGGACCGGCCGGTTTTTTATAAACCTGTAACCCGCTACCGGTTAGAATAAAATCGTGAAAAGAAAGAAAAACCCTTATTCCCTATTTCAATTGAAATCAAACTCCCGTCTTTCTCTCATCTTCATAGGCCGCATCAATAGAAGGTAAATTCCAAAATCCTCTACTTTGTTCTTCAATTAAATCTTGTTCTTCCATTAATGGACTTCTAAAGCAGGTTGGTTTGTTTCTAAATACCTTGATTTTCATTGTGTTCTTTTTTTTTTCCAGAACTTCTCGTCTTTTCCTCCTAGATTCTAATTAATTTAAGAATAAGAATTATTTACTTTTCATATATTTGTAGTTTTTGAATAACAATTTTCATATTTGATATGTGAAATTTATTGAAATTTGTATACTTTTTTCTTCCCAGTTTGCGTAGCTTTAATGTGCATTTGGAAGAGCAGAAACCCAACCTTTTCTCCACATAATTCTGTTATTATATTGCCCTTTATTCATTTCTTGGGTTATTGTTGACTTGTTTTGATGAGGTTTAACATAAGCTAAATTGCTTCATTAATGGTGGTTTCTTGGAATTTTACTACCCATAGAAAATACAAATTTGGTCTTCTGAAATGTTGGTGTCAAATAGCTCAATGAAAGAAAAGTGAATAGTCTCTGGGCTTTTATTTGGAATTTGTTTTTCCATTTTTGTCAAAGGAGTACAATTTGTTGTTTGGAAGGTTGAAGGAATATTATGCTTGGTTTCTCACAATAAGTTCCTTTTTATACTGTATCTAACAATTTATATAATTGTTAGTCAGATTTTGGGTTGTACTTGTGCCTTTGTGTAATCCCAAACTTATCCATCAACAAAGAAACTTGAGTTTTGTTCTCTTTTTCTCCTGCCTTACTGGTTTCTTGGTTTGAAAATTTTACTGGTAATGGTACTCTATCTAACTATGGTTATTTTAATTTCTTTTACTTAGGAATTAGGATGGATGACAATACTCAGTTTTCAGAAAGGCAATCTATAGGTTCCACACCTTCTAGCCATGCAAAGACTGATCCTGCATGGGAACACTTCTCGTCTAGTCGTGATATTGACGGTAAAGTTTGTTATACGTATCTTTATTGCAACAATAGCTTTAAAGGTGGGGGAATTAATAGAATGAAATACCATCTTGCTGGAATTAAAGGTCAAATATCTCAATGTAAGAAAGTTCATTTTGATGTTCGAATTAAATTTCAAGGAGTTCTTAAGGATATATCTAAAAAAAACAAGATGCTAAAGAGGCTCATGATTGTACTTTTGGGAATGATTATATAGATTTAGAAATTAGAGGAGAGGAAATAGAAGAGGATATTCAAGAAATACATGTGTCTTTAGAAAAACGAAGTCAAGAAAAAGGGAAGAGGAAAGCAAGTGACACTGATATGATTAAGGAGTGATGGGATAAACATCTTCGTCTTAACATACATGCAGCAGCTTATTTTTTCAATCCTGCTTTCATTTATGAAGAAGGATTTTGTCAAAAAGCAGAAGTCATGCAAGGTCTATTCAATTTGCTTGAAATCAAAAGTATTTGTGGTGATGAGACAAAAGCAATGGGGAAGATAAGGATGTATCGAGAACGTGAAGGGAGTTTTGGAAGGCAATCTGCATGTAATACTAGAAAATCATTACAATCTGGTGAGAAATTGTATTTAGTTATTTATTGTTTATTTTAATAGTTCTTAGCGCTTGAAACTAATTTTATTAAATTATGCAGATGAATGGTGGAAATTGTGTGGATCTAGTGCTCCAACTTTGCAAAAGATAGCTATTCGAATACTTGGTCAAACAGCTTCTTCTTTAGGATGTGAAAGGAATTGGAGTGTCTTTGAACGTATTCACACACAAAAAAAAAAAGAAATAGATTGGAGCATCAAAGACTCAACGATCTTGTCTATGTTACGTATAATTTGCGATTGAAGAATAGGTATATAATCTTAAACTTTTTACCACGTCAAGAGTTTATTTTAATGACTCATTTATTTGATATATTTTCTTTATCTAACTACTACTCATTTACGACCTTATAGGCGTTATTATAAGAAGAGGTCTTCTGATCCAGTTGATTATGAGTGTATTGATAAGACAAACTGTTGGATAGAGGAAGAAGTGCCACCACAGGATTTCGAGTACGAAGACTTAGATAATGCTATTTATGAAGAAAATACAATTTCCAATGTTAATGATCATGAAATTGATGATAATGTTCAAGGTTTGTAAATAATCTTAACTTATTGTTTTTTTTTTAAATATTAGTCAAGTATTTTTATCTAATATATTGTTACGTAATTTTGTATTTTAGATGACAATGAAAATAAGGATGAGATTAATACTCAAGAGATGGGAGATTTAGATACAATGGATGTTATTCATCGTTTTGGTGGTTCATGTGAACGTGGAAGTGATCAAGGATTGAGGCTTATAGATGAAAATGATAAAGGCGAAATTTAACTATTTAATATTTTATGTTTAGTGCACTTTTTTGTTCCAATTATTACATGACATTTTATGTATTGGTGATAGTTGATGTGAAACTTTTAAATTTTAACTATTTAAGTTTTCATGCTGTTCACTTATTGACATTATTGTTTACTTTATATTATTGACTTAGTCAGTTATTTAACTTGTTTTAAATTATATGATTGGATTGAGTAGCAGTTGACTTGGTTGATTGTAATTGATTGTTTTGTGATTTGATTTCAATATTTACTTTTCATTTTTTCTCTTCTTTATAAATGTATATTTTTCATTTTGATTTTATAAGCCACCGGTCCAATTCAGGTTCGACCTCGGTTCAACATTTTAACCCTTGACTCTTTCTTTTTTCCGGGTCGATGATCGGGTCGGTTTTTAAAACATTGGTTTTATCCTCCCTCACGTTGGAGAGAAAAATTTCGAGATTTTTATCTAAAATTGAAAGATCTTAGAACTTCGTCTGTTAATGTTCATGTTACACTTGTATTTCAAAGATAGGGTTATTTCACCGAATCAGGGCATTATAAACATCTCTCTCATGTTCGAAAATATGCGGTTCAACCGTTCAACCTCCACAAAGAATGGGAAAGATATCCTCAAGAATTCAGAACATTCCAGAGAAAGATGGCAAAAATTAATCAAACAATCCCTCCAGAAATTTGGCCTAAGATTGAAGATGATGATCCATGGGAAACTCTTACAATGGACTATGCGCAAAGAATCCAACTGGATATTCAGGCTCATATGGAAAGCTTTAGCCAGATCCACAATTGGTATCCAATCATTTCCCTAGAAGACTATCATTTTGACAATTGTTGGAATCAATTATATTTGGGACGACCAACACAAAGCTTGGGACAGACAGCTAAGTACTCAAAAGATACTCCTGAAGGACACCAACTCAAAGAAAAACTGTGGAAAATGTTAAATGAAAATGTCCTTTCTACTATTCTTCACACATGATGCGAAAATCCACACCTCACGAGAAAAAGAGGAAAAGAAAAGATAGAACAAGGGAAACAAGCTTAAGCCAGTAAGCATCAGCAAAAGTCAGCTTGAACCCACAATGTCCCAATTTCCAGATTCTCAAGACATGTGGTCTTTTGACACTGTTGACCCTGACTATCTTGAAAGACTTGAGCAACAACTTGAAGAAGAAAAAGAAAAGGAAATAAAAGACAATATGCCTTGGTGGAAAACACTATAATACCATCAGACTCTGATGATTCAGATGAATTGGCCTTGGCAGCAAATCTGGTATCTTCTTGATTTGCAAAGATGATGTTAAGTTAAAAGTATCTTGTCATTTTGTATGAGTTGTCTGTTATCTTGTAAAATAAATTGATAAAGCAGTGTTTGCTTTATTAAAAGTGGGTCATCCGGTCAGAAAAGATGTGTGTGATAATTGTACTCGAGTCCTGTACGTCTGAAAATTCGTTTGTCCATCTTGTGTGATTATTGCACTAAAATTTATGGTCGCGGACATGAATTCATACACACAGATTGATCTTGGAAGGCAAGAATTGACACACGCATAGCGAACTGGTACACGCAAAATGATTTATGTTATAATGCATATGTATATAAAAGAATTCACATGTTACCAAATTAATTTTGATACACATGAGAAATATAGTTTATAAAAAAAATTACTACCTTCATTAAATTTTGAAAAATTAAGATATTGTGCTGATAACATGCTATAAAAGAGAAGAAAAGAAAAGAGAACATAGAGGAGTCAAAAGACTTGTATGTATTTTATTAAGAATCAAAGCCCTGTATTTATAGGGTATAATCATGGATACAACAATAATAATTTCTAAGGTTGTAGGGATATAATTGTTATTTACCTCTAAACCTTAAAAACTTAATGCTTGTTTGGTACAAATTTTAAGGCAATTAAAATCAATTTTTTGATCGTTATTTCACTATTCCAACCGCCATTTTTAAATTCTTTTCTCACAAGTAGGGCCACTTTATCTCTAACGATCAAAAATCAATTATCAAAATCCCTATCACACAAGCACTTACCTTTTACAATAAATTTATCTATTTGTACATGGCGTTGAATTTGTCGATTTGCCTCATTTTGTAGCATGCCTCATAAATTTTAGGGTTAGTCTGAAATAAGGGCTGTACATTCTTACAACCATTCAAACTCAAAGGAATTGACGGGGGCTCGCACAAGCGGTGGAAGCATTGGGATAACTAAAGTGAAATATGGAACAATTTTCTGTTTAAAGTCTAATTTTAGATGGAATGTGATTCTCGTCTCGCTCTTTTTCTATTATGTGGGTAGAAGAGTAGGGCTCTCTCGCGATACCCTCTGCTTGACTCGAAAAAGGTGGCCAAGGCAAATTGGTGGGCCCCACGCTGTCTTGCTGTAAACAATGACTTTAGAATTTAATTTTAACCCCGTCCTTTACTAAAGTCAGAGCACTCGCGAAAGGTCTAAAGCTATTTTATGATCTACTTTCCTGGACAAAGAAGAAGATAGAGGCATTTTTATAAAAATAATTACTTCTCGTCTTCTTTGCTCGACATTTACCTCCCGACCCGCACTGCAAATCCATGGTGGCTTTCTGAGTTCTAGTTCAATCGCCACCCAACCCAATATTTGACAGACTGCCCTTGGACCCTAAACCCAAACTCGGAAGATGTCCCATCGATCCTTCTCCGTCCTGAAACGGGTCATCACCCACCACCCGAATTCCTCTCATCTCCTCTCCTCCCAGAGATCCGTAACATACATGCCCCGTCCGGGAGACGGTGCGCCCCGACCCGTTACCCTCATTCCGGGCGACGGTATCGGCCCCCTCGTGACGGGAGCCGTCGAACAGGTGATGGAGGCCATGCACGCGCCGGTCCATTTCGAGAAGTATGAGGTGCACGGCAATATGAAGCAAGTTCCCCAGGAAGTTTTGGACTCCATCAGGAAGAACAAGGTGTGCTTGAAAGGCGGCCTCAGGACCCCTGTAGGCGGTGGCGTCAGCTCTCTCAATGTGCAGCTCAGGAAAGAGCTCGATCTTTACGCGTCCCTCGTGAATTGCTTTAATCTACCAGGGCTCCCTACGCGCCATGAGAATGTTGATATAGTTGTTATTCGGGAGAATACTGAAGGGGAATACTCGGGACTAGAGCACGAGGTGGTTCCCGGTGTTGTCGAAAGCCTCAAGGTAATAATCTACTTTTCAATTGTTTGTGACTTCTAAGGGTTGTGTGATTCGGGTTGATTTCATTTTCTGGTTACTTCTGTGAAGATGGAAAAAAAATTACTTGAATTGATGATACCAATTATGAATGCAAAGAATGGTTTTTTCATATCAGCTTCAAGCTGAAGTTGATAGATGGATTTTAGAGAATTGTATGATATGTCAAATAAAGCAAAATGTAATAAGTTTGATTGGAAAGAATCGAGAGATGTCGACATCTATTGTGAACTTGTGATAGTTGTCATGAGAATTTGATTTTCTTGGTTGGAACTTGGTTGTTATTGGATTTTATTACTTCATGGAATAATCAGAAATGGCCATAACTAAAATAGAAGCTTTTGGCATGACTTTTTTGCTCAATGTTTACGTTATAATCTCTTTCTTAGCTTGTTCTTCTTAATTAAGCTGAGGGCATATATCTTCTACTGTGCATTGGCTGAGAAGGTCATCTTTTATGTTGCACCTCTGTAGGTGATAACAAAGTTTTGTTCTGAGCGCATTGCAAAATATGCTTTTGAGTATGCTTATATAAACAGCAGAAAGAAAGTGACAGCTGTGCACAAAGCCAATATCATGAAGCTTGCCGATGGTTTATTTCTTGAATCTTGTCGAGAAGTTGCCACAAAATATCCTGGGATCAAGTTCAATGAGATTATTGTGGATAACTGCTGCATGCAACTGGTTTCCAAGCCTGAGCAATTTGATGTCATGGTATGAGACTTGGATCTCTCTCTATTTTGTTGGTCCTCTTTTTGGCTCTTTTTTATTATGTTACTGGTTGTGCTTCTCATTTTATTGTTTCTTCTCCTTTAATCGCTCATAGTATTGTTTATCTCTATGATTTCACGAGGTGTAGCAGTTCAGTTTACTTAGTTCTATCAATAATGTTTTCAGTTGATTTTTTAACCTTTGTTTCTTTAATTCTTTTTTGTGTTGAGTAATAACTGAGATAACCTGAAAAGTTCCTTGAGAAACTAACTTTGGTCACATGTCCCAAAATAACAATTCTTTCACATGATAGTTCATATCATTCTAAGAAGAATGGTTCTCTGAAATATCAATAAACTTTACTGTTTCCTGCAAAAAATCTCCTAAGAATAATCCCACTACCATATTGATTATTCTATTTGAGCTTGTTAGTAAATTGATACGATTAATATATGATAGTGTTGTAGGATGCAACGAACAAGAAAAATATTGAGAATAGGAGGAGAAAGAAGAGAAGAAAAAGGGGCTTCAAGAAAGAATTTAGGGCTAGAAATTTATCAAAGCATTAAAACTAATCTAATCTAGTTTATACAAACATAATTTGAATCGAACTCTATTTTAAATTCATCTAAATTCTATTTTATCCCTATCAAATAATGTAAGTACACAAGTTTCTTATCTTCTTGAAGTGAAACCATGAATAGCCACTGAATCGAGCCAAAAGAATATTCTATCCGTATTCACCGTTATTTAAAATTCTGAAATGACAATGTTCTCTTGATAATTTTTAGTAACATCCTATTGATGATTTTTTAGTATATTTACCAGCATTTGATGCCCTTCATTGCTCTTTATATTAGATTTCTTATGGGTCACTTCTCTTTATCTTTACAACTGGGGTTTATGTTTATGGTTAATTATTAAATGAAAAACTAATAAATAACTTTAACTTATGGTTCACTCTTTACATAAGACCTTGGTACCTTTTAGTTCCAAAAGATATGGTTGCTTTCTGTAACTAATAGATTGAATCTACCATATATGTGTTTTAAAAGATAAAATATATGACTATCTTTTTCGTCTGAACCATGTTATTCTGGCCTCTCATTCATTAGATTTAGCTAAACCATGTTAGACATGACACGACATTTGGCATAGCATGGCATACTCACCAACATTAAGATGTGACTCTTGCACGAGAAACAAGCCCAATAACTGTTCCAAAACTAAAGCAATTACCAACAATTAATCGGACGTCTTGCAGGTCAAAATATAGATGCATGATTATTGGTTTTCGCCTTTCTATAAGTTATCATACAATCTCTATTAGTCTGATTTTTAGAGAAGGCCATAGTAAGTAATTAAATTATATTATTCTTTTACTTATTGATATGAGGCAAGTAACTTTTTGGCTGCTTCCATGGTAAATATTCTTGCATTTTTTTTTTCTTTTTTCTTGCGCAACCTCTTCTCATGTTGGGCAGTTTTCGAAGTTGGTCTTTATACATCTGCTTCAATCTATTGAAAATACTAAAGGGGTATCCTTTTTGTACAACAAAAGTGGGGAAGCAACATTAATGACTTTTCCTAAAAAGTTGTCATGCACAATAAAGGTTAGACAACAGAATGTCAATCCTAAGAAGAGGAATATTTACCCTGATCGTAACTGAATAATAAATTAAATATCTTAATAGTCATAACTATCTAATTTCTTTATGCAAATATAATGATTCGTGGCACACGAGTACCCATGAGATAGTGACAAGGAGAATGAACTTAAATTAGACTAGATTGGATTTGAAATTAGATCGAGAACTCCAGAGGTTGGAGCACTCTTCGATCTTGATGGGAAGGAACAAATATTTATGAGTAGATACATCTGTAGGCAGGGCATGTTGGAATTTGGAAAGAATGGGCATATTGGGGGATATATAACTAATTTACTAATGACCTTTGGCCATGAATTTTTTGTCTTTGGTTTTTTTTTTTTTTTGTTTAAAATATTACTGGTGTACATGAATGTTGGCAATTTTAAAGAATGTGTATTTTGGGGGAGATATAGATCATTTACTAAATGGTCTATTGTTTTATTTTGTCAAAACGTTGTGATTGTAATGGATTGCATCATTTACGATACTTCCAAGTAGGAAAAATAGAATCTTGCAGCCCTAATACATTCGTAATAGTGGCGATTTAGTTGCTTTTGGAAACATTACCATTTCATTTCTTCTTCATTACTTCACTGGCTCTATGCCATTTCTTTTTGTCATGTGGTTATGATAAAATAAAAGAACGTTGTTGCTAACACGTGGATTTGTTTCTAGGTGACACCAAATCTGTATGGCAATCTTGTTGCAAACACGGCTGCGGGCATAGCTGGTGGCACTGGAGTTATGCCTGGAGGCAAGTTGTTTATTTAATCCTACTTCTAATTTCTGCTTCCTGTATCCATCTTTTCTGGAAAATAGCAACCTTATGAAATTATTCCATGGATACCTGGGATTATTTGGAACTCTAATTTCCTGCATTTTATCTTTGTGGGGAGTACAAGTCTTATAACTTTGTAACAGGGTAGCTTAAACCAACATTTTGCATGAAAAAATTGGTATACATCCCTTTCTGCCTCGTTGGTTTTTTAGGTTATGAAACTTTATCATTTAGAACATCCAGTTGAATGAACATAGTCTTCAAAATTCAGTAATTGTGTAGGCTACAAAAGGCTACGCTTACTACGCCACATTTTGTGATAGATAATGAAACATTTTTCCATTTACATATATAATAATGCATTGCTAGGTAACTTTGAATAACTTAGCTGACAACTTGGCTTAACATTCTTGTTAAGCTGTCATATAAGATATACCAGATGCCACTCTGTCGTTTCTTCGAGTTTTTTGGTCTTCCCTCAATTTCAGTAATACTTTGAAGCGGAATTTCTGTGAGGCGTTAACTGTACATTAGTTTAATTTAATTTGTTCACAAGCCCTAAATCTTTTTGACACTATCATTTAGCCCTTATTTGGTGCGGATTAAAATTAGATATTTAGTAGATTTTGATAAAGTTAATGAAATGTATGGTTGGAAAGTTGTGGATCCTATGAAATGTGTGGTTTAAATTGATTGTTGACTTTGATTTATTTTAAAATGTAGATTTTAATTCCTAGCAAATAGTGGCTTAATATATGATATAGGTCTGTGATATGTTGTCAAAAATTCAAGATAAAGTTCTCATCAAGTTAATGAGTACTAGCCCACTGAAATTCTTCTCATCAGTCCAGAAACCATTTGGATTCTTTAGTTGAGGATTTGGAATATCACAGATTGATCAATTAATCGGACACTCAACAACTTAAGAAATATCTGTACTTTGGGTTTCTGTCTTTGCATGTGACTAACGTCACTTCCTAAAGAAAGACAGCAAGTCTTTGATAATGACCGTATAGTTATTCTGGGGTCATTCATGGTAGGTTAATACCTATAAAGGCATGGTTTTAAGAAAGGAACGTCAATCTATAATTAGTACTTGGTTGTTTTCTTCCATTCTGTTTACGATTCATGAAAGTCTAGTCTATCATATTTGCGATTCTGTGTGACACCAAAGGACGTGGTTTCTGCAGGGAATGTTGGGGCTGATTATGCTGTTTTCGAGCAAGGTGCTTCAGCTGGGAATGTGGGAAACACAAATTTGGTGGAACAAAAGAGAGCAAACCCAATTGCTCTTCTTCTGTCCTCTGCTATGATGCTGAGACATCTCCAATTTCCATCGTTTGCTGATCGACGAGCCACGAAGTTTGTGGGCCAACTGAGCTCACTAGCCGCTCGCGAGCTCATGTTTTTTTTTTTTGTAATTTTTGTTTTGGCACCTTCTTTTAAAAAATTTTCATATTTTTAGACGAGCCCACGAGCCGTCAAAATGGCTCGTGGGATAGAGTCCCTTGCTCGACGAGCCCGAGCCGTCCACAAGTCGGATTTTAACGAGCCAAGTGGCCAAGCCAACGAGCCACCCGGTCCATTTGATATCCCTACCTTTAGCGGAACATCATTCTTTCCAAGAAATCTTTTGTACACAAGATATCATGAAAGCGATTGATGTGACCTCTTACAACAACACGAGGTTAAGTCTTGTCAGCCTACGTCATCGATATGTACACCTAAGTCATAGTGTGGTTACTTTTCAAATAATATTAGATGTTGCAAGTCTTATGATGTATGAAGTGACACTTTTGATGGGACGTCTTGATCGTCAGGATGAAGCAAAGCATTTCTTTATCCAACGGTCATCACTCTACCCAAGCCACTATAAAAGCTGACAACTAACACTGACTCAACGATAATGCAATGTTAACTCTCCAGAATGTAAGATTGCTCTCATCCATATATTCATGCACATTCCTAGTGTTGTTAACACTTTTGTGGGTTGCACTTTGAGCTCATTCCACACTCACTACATTACTACATTTTCTTATCGATTGACTTGACAATTGAAATGCTCGTAGCCTCCCTACCACTGGAGTAGGCCACAGGTGACTAAAGATTTGTTCAACTGTGTAGGGAAGGGCTTATGTGGACGTGAGTGGATTCAAAATTTGTTGACCACGTAGGAAGTACAAAAATTGAGATCCACAAAGATGATACCATAACTGCTGGTGAAAAAAAATTGCCCTTGTTTGAGCTCCGTTCTTTGAGAAAAATGCATTTTTCTACAGTACTTTGACATCATTTCAATCACATATCCTTCAATAAAATAATTTTACATGTAAATCTAAGACTTTTCCTTATTTTTAACTACACATTTTTAATCAGTACACTATTCAAAAATTCATTTTTTCCCCCCAAAAATAGGGCTCAAACAGGGGCAATATTTAGATCAACTCTTAAATTTGGCCATACATAATTTGTCTGTATCGTAATATGTTCCTCAAAGCTCAGCTTTATTTAAGATAGGCAAAAATTGCACTTGGGGTCCCAAACCTTTCAATTAGTTACAGAATATATCCAAATCTTTTATTTTTGCACACAGTCCCAAACATTTCATGTCGATTGCATCTGGATGACAAATGGACATTTGACCGTTCAATCAACCTAAAAAAAAAAAAAAAAAAAAAAAAAAAAAAATCAATTTAACACTATTTTGATAAAATTTGAAAGGACAAAATTGTAATTTTATATTTTTCCAACAGAATAAAAAAAGAAAAAGAAAAAACATATCTTCGCAAAGCTCATCCCCCAACTCCATCCCACCTACCCGATCAAAACCCACGCACCGCTGTCGCCGTCATGGCCACGGCCACCGCATACCACAGCCACCGTTCACCACTAGCGCCTGCCACATATGTGAATTTTTCAACTAGAGGTTTCGGGTGCCAGGATATCACGATTCTCAATACGAAATGAAACCCAAATGCTGAAATGCAGCCCTAAAAACCCAATTGCCAATTTCGTTGTAGCTGGATCCAAATTCATCAGTACCAAATTGTCCACGATTCCGTTGCAGAATGTGAAATTTTAAGAATTTCATGCCCGGAGAAATTGGGACTCTTAAACAACAATTAGCTGTAGATTTATATTGATTAATTCCTCTACAATTATGGTTGAAGTTTTTTTGGCCAGAATCGGTTCTGGCCATAGAAGAAAGAGAAATTAACGACCCTACCCCAATCAATTGTCAGAGTTGGCAATTCAAATTAGAAAGGAAATCTTGAAGATACATGATGGATTTGAAGAATCAAATAGTATTCGGAAAATAAGGAAACAAAGTCTTTGTCTCGTTTTTTTCCCTTTTCACGTTTAACCTAGAATTCTTACTATTTTAGGACTCTTTTAACGCTAGACTCTTGTGTTATAAATATAAGTCTCCTTTTTCAGTATTGTTGAAGTCAATTGTTGTAATTCTCTCCTTTCATTGATAGAATAAAATAACATCGTTTATCTGCTAGTTTATTTCTTTACTTTAATTTTATTCATGGTATTTTTATGATCTTGTATTTATATTTCAAATTGGTGTCCATTAAATCTCAATTCTTGCGTTTCGTTTTCACTTGGTCCCAACATCAATTTCGATTGATAGGATACACAAAGACCAACGGTAGCAACAATACCAGACATTGATTTCTATCTTTGGATGGGTTTTACTATGTGGTTTTCAATTTTTTTACGGACTTATCTCTTCCAATTGAAAAGAGTTGATTGATGTACAACAAGTGGCGATGGCGATGGCGATGGCGATGGCGGTAGTATGTGGTGGCTATAATGTGGGTGGAAAAGTTAGGATAGGATAGCGTAGGATGGCCAGGAAAGAAGAACAACAGTTAAAATCTTTATTTATTTATTTATTATATAAAATTACAGTTTTGCCCTTTTAAATTTTGGCAAAATATGTTTAAATTGATCTTTTTGGGTTGACTAATAGTCAAATGGATGAATTTCGCCTATTTGTCCTTAACGTTTGGAACTGTGGTACAAAAATAAAAAAAAAAATTATAATCTGTAACTAATTGAAAGGCTTGGAACATCAGCTACAATTTTCCCTTTTAATAAGAAATTGAAAGGGAATTACGCTTTGAAGAAAAACTCTTTGGCAAAATATCTTTTCAACTCGGCTATTAACAAAAAAAAATGTCATTTAAATTTAATTTTTATACTTCTTTTTGATCATTTCCATTTTCCGATAACTTTGGTTTGAAGATGGAGATAATACGACTAAACTTGCTAACCTTATACGAAGTGTGAAATTAGTTCCCTATGTCGCATTTTGCATGCTAAGTTTTATGTGTGAATTGAAAAAGTTTCCAAGTGATACGATGATTAGTCGCAACTCTTTAAATGCAAATGATGCAGTATTTTGTTTTAGAATGGATTTGACTATTCGAAAAAGTACACTATTAAAACTCATTTTTGTTATGATGCAATCTAGACCATTAAAAATGAAAGATGTGCTCTAATGATTCAAATTTATTTATGTTAGATATTTTTCATCATTTTTTGCATGTGTTTAATTTTTTGTTTTGCGAATGATTTGCCGTCCGGATTAGTGTTTGCCGCTGCGCAACGGGGTTCGACCTATTCAAGAGAATTTTATTTTCAAAAGTTTTTTGAATATGTGCATCTGTTCATTTTTAACAGTCACTTTCAATGGATACACATATTCAAACAGTTGCCTCAGTGTCTATAAATTCTGGGCGAATTCTCATTTGCAAAGACATAAAACAATTTATTTTTCCTTCTTTTTCTTGGCATCAATCAGTTATATTCGAGTGTTTTCTTGGTTTGATCAAATAGTCACAATTTGAATCAAACACCTCCATTGTATCCTGAGAGAGATTTTCTATTATACCCCGTTGTGACTTTGTTGAATAGGGAAGAAACATCTCTTAAAAAATAACGTTTCATTTCGTGCCTTGGAGTTCATTAACGTATTCAGATTTCCCTACATTATTATCAACAATTTATCTCAAAAGATGCAACAATTCCGAAAAGGTTACTTCAAAATCCATAAATAGGATTTATATTCTAAATTTTACCATATCTTCAAAATATTCTGTTGTTTTTAGTTTGCTGTACTTAGATTTCGTCAAATTGTTTTCAGAAATAAAATTCCATCCGACAAATTTTAGTTCGTGTCTATTTTATTCGTGAAGCATACTTTAAACACTTTGGTTCGTCCTAAAAATTAATATTATAGCACAATATTAATTTTTAGAAGAAATGTTGTATCTTAAAAAGCAGAAGTCCCTTTGATCACATTGCGCCAGTATAAGAAGCGTAATCAATCTTATGGAGATTTACATTTACGTACCTCATTTCATTTCATCTCCTTTTAATTAATATGTTTCAATAAGCAGCATTTTGTGCATATTTTGATTTGTGTATCTTGATTTTTGTGTGTCGAAATTCTATCCAATATTTTTGCACCAACAAGTCACAATTTTATCATATTTGCATGTGTGATCCTTGGCTAAAAGGAATATAATAGTGCAGCAATTTCTCCAACATTGTAACTTTCAAAGTTGAGGTTTTGACTCCTCAACCTATACAATTCTACGAGATTAATACCTACTTGTCGGAATATGTTAATTTCATCGTTAAAAGTCAAAAAAGGCATTCGTTATTAAAAGGGCATATGTTAATCCGATCATTAAGTATTGAAAGGGGAAAAAACCAAAAAACAAAAACACAAAAGGGAAAGGGAAAAGAAAAGAAAAACTGCGAACATTTTTTCTTTTTTTGGTCTTTTCTTTATCCTTTAATATTTAGTTCATAGATAGGCATAATAATCATTTTTAAAAAATGACTTTTTAAGATTAGCAATTTTTTTCTGTTGGTCCAAAAAAGTGAAGGCTCACCCTAAAAGGAGGAGATTCCGAAGTTTACCCGAAAAGTTGATAATAGACAGCCCACCCCCACCAAAAAAATATGGCTAAAAAAAAAAAAAAAAAAACTATGAAACTTGTAGCATCAACTTGTCAAACATAACCTTGAAAAGGCGATAGCAAGGGTGTCACCCACTAAAGCTTTGGCTCATCCCGAGTTCAAACTCCTAAAACTGTAGACTTCAGGATTTAGTCACTGTATGGTGGATGTCTGGATATTAAAAAAAAAAAAAAGAAAAAAAAAGAAGAAAAGGTAAGCATATAGCTCTCAATCTAGAGAATATTTCAATAAGGCAAAGTCTCCCTTAATCGTTCTTCAATCTTTTGCGTCTTTCTTCAAGGAACCAATGTCACATGATTAGATAAGTTGGGGAGTTGGAGGAGTCGATTTCACACCTGATGAAAGATTGGGACTCCGAGCCTAACTGGGGTTTTCTCAATTATGATTTTAATGAATTTTATAAGATTATAAATTTTAATGAGTTTCGTGAATTTGAATAGGTTCTCACAAATTTCATAAAAATCTCATCAAATATGGTGAAATTTCAAAACATTTAGTTATATGTATTTTTAAATTTAAAACTCGTCCAAATATTTTAAAATTATTCTATTAATGAAATCTTTATAAATCCACTAAATATTGAGGATACTTAAATTTTAAAAGATTTCTTTAAATTTCATTAAAATCTCAATTGGGGGCGCCTAAGTTTTAATCGATTTC